CTTGTACTACCCTCCCTATATATCCTGAGGAACTACAAACCCACTGCAAGCCTGGTCACAGGCATTATCATCCCTGTTTTACAGATGGGGAAACTGAGGCTATGTGAGGTTAAGAGACTTGCCCAGGCTCAGACAGCCAGAATGTGGCAGAGGCTGGCCTGCCTAACCCAAAAGCCAGACAAAATTTAAAAGAAACTAGCACTCTTCTTCCCAGAGCCTCAACCCCAAACTCAGCCCTTCTCCAAACCAGTTACTAGTGACTGTGTCTTCACATTCTCCTTTAAATTTTCTCTCACCTATATTGATGCTTGTACTCTTAATCCTATATCGACTCCCTGCATGGGACTCTTTCCAAGCCGAGGTGTTCCTGGTCTCCTAAGTATCAAGGAGGTGACTCAAGGAGCTTTCACATGGAGATTCAGAAGCTCTGAATGGGGATTTCCGAGTCCCTCCTAAAACAGGGCTCATCACTTTCAGATGTTTTGTTAATGCTTCTTGCAGAGACTTCTAGAAGGATCTATCACCTTCCTTCTTTCTGCAGATCGTAAATCATCTTACCAGACCTGGACTGCTTAAAATCAGCATTGCACAACGGCTTCCTCACACCACCGCCTGTGTTTACAGATGAGGAAGCCAAGGAAGCCGAGTGCCCTGCAGGCCGAGCGGCTCCCGCAGGAGCTCCTCAGGGTGGCAGTGGGGCTGAGGCTTCCAGGCTGACACCAAGGGGGCTTCCTTTGGCGGCTATAGCCCCCATCTCAGATGCAGAGTAGAACCCCCACCCCCAGAGCATGCAGCCTCACCCACACCCCTCCCTAGGCCACTGCTCCCCAGAGTCTGCCATCCCCCAATCCCTGACGATGACCCTGAGGTTCGCCAAAGAGCACTCAGAAGCCCAGGAAACTCACACGTCTTAGCCATAAACAACGTACCCATCTCCCACTCCTGCACACATCCTTCAACTCAGGCCTCCCTGTGGGCAGGGGAGTGCAGCCCAGGCCCTGTACCTTCTCTCAGGCTCTCAGAAGCTCAGATCTCCACGTAGGACCTAGGCTGGGCCCTCCACCCTGTCTTTTTGTTCTGATTTCTGTTTCTGACTTTTCTCTCTCACAGAGAAATATATACACAGTCACTGACACACTCATATGGAGATGAATCAGGCCAAGCAGGAGAAGGGCTGCAACACCAGTGGCCAGGCAGGGTTTGAATGGTGCGGGATGCTCAAGTTCTTTATTTGTACCTCTTTTACATATATTTGCATGGGCTGCTTTGAAAGCTCTCCATTTTCCCAGAGAACACAGAGAAGTAACGGGTTTGTGGGCAGAGGGGGCGCTGAGGTCTCTGTGAGGTTTCCAGATGCCTTGGGTGGGTCTCAGGATTCAGGTCCTGGAGTGCAGTGGGGAGAGGAGATGAATGTGGGGGAGCAGGTTAGAGGGAGTAGTAGGGAAGCAGCAGCTCCTGGCTGTGGCCTGAAGGACCTCACAGGTCCTGGCTGCTTTCCTGAGGCAGGCACCACTTGCTGCACCCTTCCATCGCAGGTCAGACTGGGTCAGAGGGCATGAGTTTTCCAAAGGTCCAGGTGCATAGTGAGGCATGCTCCTGGGGCTAAGTACGGAAGGTAGTAGAGCAGCAAGAGGATGGGCGCCAGCAGAAGGGGAACATAGCAGACTCTGAGGCAGGGCTAGAGGATAAGGGCACCCAGGAGAGAACTGCCCAGGACTGAGGGTGCCAGAGAAGGTAGGTCCTGCTCGGTAGGTTGACCAGACATTGAGGCCCAACACTATCTACCTCCCACCCTGCTCCTTAGTTCTCAATTTATTCTACACAGAACCTAAGACAAGATTCCAGGCAGCCACAGCTCTGGCCTGGCTGTGCACCCCTGGCTGGGTGACATTGGGCAAGTCTCTGTCCCTCTCTGAGCCTTAGTTTCCTCTTCAGTAAATCATCTTTGAGCAGATGTTTGCCATGGGCCCACCAAGTTCTAATATTCTGTTCCATCTTGGCCCATCCTTTCCTGGTTCCCCGGGCTCAGGGAACTTCAGAGTCTACCTCTAGAATCAAGTTCAAATTGGAGTGTTCAGGTCCAATTGGATCCCGTACCTTTCAACCTAATCAGCCTTATCTTTCCCTGTTTGTCAACAGTTTAACAGGCCCAGTTCCTCTCCGGCCCTGGGGTCCTTGCTCCAGCCTCCTTTCCTTTCCCCAAAAAGTGGCCCCCCTTCTGGAAAACCTGCCCCCTCCTGGAGCTCTGGCTTCATGGACACATGACCTGAGCAGTTGCACAAGTCCCTACACTTAGAAGGGTCCTGTGCTTGGTTTAATGCTCTGTTGATGCCTCTCTGAAATTTAAATATTTGAACAAGAGGCTCTGAATTTTCATTTTGTGCTGGGCTCCCCAGATTGTGCACCCAGTCCTGCCTTCCGCTCCTCCCATCAGCACCCCCTCAGCTCTGCCTCCCCATGGAACCCTCACTGACCCGGAGAGGGTCCAGCCTGGGATGGCCAGAACTACTGGTCCCCGGGGGAGGGGAGTGGAGAGACCCTTTGCGCATCATAGGCCTTAAACCTTATGTCATCTGGGGAAAGTAGCTTAGAAACTGCCAGGGGATGTGGAGAAACAGAAAGGGGCAGAGCCTTTGGCTCTGTCCTAGAAGGAAACCTGGCTTCCGCTCCAGAAGTCCCTAGTCCACGGAAGAGGCCATGCACCCTGCCCAGAAAGGCCCTAATCTCATGAGGGGGGCAGTTCTCTGTTGGGCACCGTGGGGCTGGGGACAAGCCCACACTTTGAATCCCACTTTCCTCCTGCCTGTGATCTTCGCTGGGTACAGTGAGAAGAGATGTGGCCTGCTTGTGGGGCTGTAGAAGAAGTGGGGCACCACCTCTGCCCCACTCCCTACCCTCCTGGCTCTCACTCCAAAAGCATCTCTCCAAGCCTCTCCAAAGAGAAGCCTCTCTACCTACACACCCCACTGAGGGTCATGAGGCAAAGCCTTTTTTGTTTGCCAACAGCCTCACTGAGTGGGGTGGGCATGCCCCTCAGGCTGCAGCCCCGCATGCCCTGCTCTGCAAGGGCCTGGATGAGGCGTCCTTCCTGTCACCACCTCCCTGGCCCCACGGTGTGTGGTTTGTCCTCCCCAGGACCTTGTGAGGCAGACCCCACCCCCATCCTAGAGCCACAAGGTGGGGTCTGAGAGCCTCTGCTCACCTGCAGGAGCCTGATTATCAGTATTCAGAGGTGGGGCAAAGCCTGGACTGCAGGGTTTGTGATCCTGCTGAGACCCCAGGGCCTACAGAGTCTTTGGGCCAGTCGGGGACCAGAGGAAGGGAGGGGATAAGTGGGCTGGACTGTCCCGACCAGCCTCTGGCTTCTTCTCCCAGCACCTTCTTTAACCATAGCACTGCCCACACCAGGTAACTGCTGGCCCCTGGGCCTCTGTTATTGAACACCTCCCCACCTTTCAGCTGCCTGCCTAGCCCCACTCATCCTTGAACATCTGACTTGAGAGTCTCTTTCCCCAGGAAGCCTCCCTTGAGCCTCAGGGCTGCCTAAGTGTCTCTCTGGCCTTGCCCACGCTGCTCCCTCAGAAAGTACTTTCCTGTGTGTGCTTCTAGTCTGACTAGTTCAGGCCTTCCTTCAGGCAGGCCTGTGTCACCTGCCCTTCATGACCTCTGGCAGGTCTGCTGTGGGGGTCAAGCTCTCAGGTGTGGTGGGCCAGCCAAGCTGGAGCAGAAGGGGAGGGGCAGGTTGGGGGTGGATGAGGCAGGATCTCTTCCCTCGCACATGTGCAAAATGTGTGTCCCATCAGCTATAAGAAGGGCTGCCACTCAGGAACCTACACACCTACAGAGAAGCATTCACAGGTGGTGAAGATGGGGCTCATCTAACAAAAGTGGCCTGCTTGTGTCACACAGGCCAGCAAGCAGGTCTGCCTGCATGGGCTGTTGGGGGCCTGAGAGCTGTTGGAGGCCTCGGTTGTCTGGCCCAGATGCATACTGCATGGAGGCAGGGGGTTGAACTAACTGGCCTCTCAAGGGCCTCCAGGTCAAGATTTGAGCATCCAGGTGTCCACAAGGAGAGGCGCCAGCTGACCAGCAGCCCCTTGCCTCAAATCTGGAGCTCCCTGACTCACTCCCTGGCAAGGCAAGTTTCCTCCCTCCCACCAGCCTAATCGGCTCCTGGTTCAGCTGCAGAAACGGCCAAACGTCTCTCTGGAACCCAAACAGGAAGCTGGGGAGAAGAGGGCCAACGGCTGAGGACCTCTGAGGCTCCTCCAGGCAACATGCGGGGAGGTGGGAGGGGCCGGGCCAGGCCCGCTCACCCCACAACGTGGCCTGGGAGGGCACCACAGGCGCGGGCACCGCAGCCACCTCGCCGAGGCAGGGCCCTTGAAGGGTCCTGGGGAAACAGTGGCCTCCTAGGGGAGACACTGTGCAGGGGGTCTTTTGGAACCCTTACTCCTGGGTCACTTTTGTTTTTCCTTTTTATGTAGACTTTATTTTTTAGAGCAGTTTTAGGTTCACAGAAAAATTGAATACAGAGAGTTTCCACATACCCTCTGCACCTACCACATACAGGCTCCTCCATCATCAGCCCCCACCAGGGTGGTACACTTGTTACAATGGATGAACCTACATTCACACATCATTATCACCCAAAGTCCATAGTTACCATTGGAGTTCCCCCTTGGGGGTGTACACTCTGTGGGTTTGGACAAATGTACAGGGACATGAATCCACTACTGTGGTACCACACAGGGTAGTTTTACTGCCCCAAAATATCCTCTATGCTCTGCCTATTCATCCTTCTCTCCTCCTTAACCCCAAGCAACCACTTATCTTCTTACTATCATCATAGTTAAGCTTTTTCCAGAATGTCATGCAGTTGGAATCACACAATATACAACCTTTTCAGACTGGTTTCTTTCACTTAGTAATATGCACTTAAGTTTTTTCCATGTCTTTTCATAGCCTGATAGCTCTTTTCCTTTTAGTGTTAAATATTTCTGTCTGGATATATCACAGTTTATTTACCCACTCATCTACTGAAGGACATCTTGGTTCCTTCCAACTTGTGGCAATTATGAATAAAGTTGCTCTAAACATCTGTGTGCTGGTTTTTGTGTGGATGTAACTTTTCAACACATTTGGGTAAATACCAGAAAGCATGATTGCTAGATCATAAAGTGCATGTTTAGTTTTGTAAAAAACTGCTTAACTCCCTTCCTAAGTGGCTGTGCCATTTTGCATTCCACCAGCTATGAATGAGAGTTCCTGTTTTTCTACATCCTTACCAGCATTTGGTGTTGTCATGATTTTGGATTTTGGTCATTCTAACAGGTGAGCAGGGATATCTTGCTTTAACTCACACTTCCTGGATGACACTAGGTGTTGAGCTGGATCACTTTTAAGGCAGATCATTTATTTTCTTAAAATAATTAATAATTAACTAAGATTTTGTTAACTTACTTCTTATCATCCCATGCTCGAGTGTCAAGTACCCAGGATGGAGAAATGCCTAAATCTCAGCCTCTGTTCAGTCATTGGCTCCCCACTAGCCTTGGTAAGTCACTTACCAACCTCAGACTCAGTTTCTCAGCCTATGAAATGGAACTCACAGCACTCTTTCCATTTGAGGGGTGTGTGTGTGGGGGGTCTCAGTCCACTAGGACCAGGTCCTGGCTTGGCATGGCGGGCAGTGGTGAGTGAAGCCAGGCTGCCCTGCCTAGTAGTGGGCCTGCAAATGAGGGAGCCCCACAGCCAGGCCTGAGGAGGGAGTCAAGGCCGTGCCCTGCAGCACAGCCCCAGGCCCTCCAGGGCTGGCGAGTGCGTTGTGGCACCTGTCTGGGCATCTGCTGCAGGGAGGTAGGGGGCTCCACATGAGAGGATGGGAGGGCAGGGCTCAGCAGAGAGCACCTGCCACTGAGCATGTTCTGCTGCAATCCCCCCAACACTGGGGCCAGAGGCTCTGAAAACAGGACAGGCGGGTCGGGGGACATGCGAACTGTAGGCAAACCTCAAGCAAACAGACAGAAGTTCTGGTTCTTCTCCCCATAGGAAAGGAGCCTGTGGTCTGGGAGCCTTGTCCCCATTGGAAAGGACAGGCTCTGGGAGCCTAGTTCACATGGGAGAGAGGGTTCAAAGCCTTGACAGCGGCCTAGGCTCCTCCAAGGCCTCCTCAGCCAGTTGGTGGTGGATGGCAGGGGGAATCAGCGAGCCAGGAGACCCCCTCCTGCCATCGCTTTTCAGGGTCCATGGGCCCTTTACACTC